CACGCACGCACGCACGCACACTCACACGCACACACACACACTCACGCACACTCACACACACACACACACTCTCTCTCACACACACACACACACACACTCTCTCTCTCTCTCGCTTCATCGCGTCCATGTGCGTGCGGGCGGATTTATTTACGAGAACACGAGCGTGGATTCGAGCCAACATCGCGCATTAGTTCAGCCGCGGGTGGAAGACAAATCTGCGGATTTAACACTGCATTCATAAATAAATAAATCAGATGGAGAAATTGAGGTCTTAATGTGACGCCTTTCTGAGAGAAAGATCAGTGTCATCATCGACAGAATGAAGGTATTCATTAAAGTTACAGTAAATAAAAATGAAGTAAACTCTCTCTCTACACACACACTCACACTCACACACACTCACGCACCCACCCGAATGCTTTATTGGGTGGTTGTTCTGCACGCTTAATAAACAAACTCCAGCTGGTCCAAAATGCAGCAGCTAGAGTTCTTACTAGAACCAGGAAGTATGACCATATTAGCCCGGTTCTGTCAACACTGCACTGGCTCCCTATTAAACATCGTATAGATTTTAAAATCTTGCTAATTACTTATAAAGCCCTGAATGGTTTAGCACCTCAGTATTTGAACGAGCTCTTGTTACATTATAGTCCTCCACGTCCGCTGCGTTCTCAAAACTCTGGCCATTTGATAATACCTAGAATATCAAAATCAACTGCGGGCGGCAGATCCTTTTCCTATTTAGCGCCCAAACTCTGGAATAACCTACCTAACATTGTTCGGGAGGCAGACACACTCTGTCAGTTTAAATCTAGATTAAAGACCCATCTCTTCAACCTGGCTTACACATAACACACTAATACGCTTCTAATATTCAAATCCGTTAAAGGATTTTTAGGCTGCATTAATTAGGTCAACCGGAACCGGGAACACTTCCCATAACACCCGATGTACTTGCTACATCGTTAGAAGAATGGCATCTACGCTAATATTAGTCTGTTTCTCTCTTATTCCGAGGTCACCGTTGCCACCAGATCCAGTCTGTATCCAGATCAGATGGTCACTGCAGTCACCCGGATCCAGTACGTATTCAGACCAGATGGTGGATCAGCACCTAGAAAGGACCTTTACAGCCCTGAAAGACAGCGGAGACCAGGACAACTAGATGAGCCCCAGATACAGATGTTATTCCCCTGTAAAGACCTTGTCTCAGACGACCACCGGGACAAGACCACAGGAACCAGATGATTCCTCTGCACAATGTGACTTTGCTAGCCTGAAATTGAACTGCTGGTTTTGTCTGGCCAGAGGAGAACTGGCCCCCCGACTGAGCCTGGTTTCTCCCAAGGTTTTTTCTCCATTCTGTCACCGATGGAGTTTTGGTTCCTTGCCGCTGTCGCCTCTGGCTTGCTTAGTTGGGGACACTTCATTTCCGGCGATATCGTTGACTTGATTGCAAAGATACTATTTAAACTGAACTGAGCTGGATGAGGACATCACTGAATTCAATGATGCTTTTAACTGAAAAATGAGTGTTTACTATTGTCATTTTGCATTATTGACACACTATTTTCCTAATTAATGCTGTTCGGTTGCTTTGACACAATCTGTATTGTTAAAAGCGCTATATAAAAAATAAAGGTGACACACACACACACTCACTCTCACTCTCATTCACATACACTCCCGGCTAAGACTTTGTGTTAGACCTGATCTTAAGTCTCACTTCTTGAAGACACCAGCAGCTACAGACATGTTTTATTATCCATTTTTGTATTGTTTCGCCTATCCAATTAAATATTTATATTTAAACACATTTTATGTCTTTTAGGTATCTTGCAGGAATTATGATGAGGCTATGAGGAAGAAGTTTTCATAGTTTCACTCCGGAAAGGCAGCTGAAGCACTGAAAATGACTTTTGAGGAAAGTCTGTGTGCTCAGTGGTCCAATAGCTGTCTGGTTTAGGGGTGGGTTTACTTTCAAATCAACCAATCCTGTTTAACATGAATGACCAAAAGGGGAGGGCACTGTGCCACAAAGGTGTGAACGCCCCCTTCATTTAGTGGATTACCATGGCAACGAATGGCTGTTGCATGGAAGAATACCTCAGTAACATACATCTGGATCAGTATATATATGGCAGTATATGGACCCATGGTATTTTCGTATCTGGCCAGTAATACAGTATATGGACCCATGGGATTTTCGTATCTGGCCAGTAATACTCCCAGATTTGTCTGAAAATCTGCAGTGTGTACAGGAGTTTACTGGACCGTGTACAGCTCTTTTCATGCAGTGTGTGTGTGTGTGTGCATGTGAGAGTGTGTGTGTGTGTGTGCGTGTGCGTGTGCGCGATTTTGTGACAAATGAGGACATAAATTTGTATAATGACAAGGGTATGACATAGGTATTACAAGGAGAAGGTGACTTTTCAGGACATTACCCCATGTCCCCACTTTTCAAAACGCTTATAAATCACACAGAATGTAGTGTATTGAAAATCTGAAATAGCACAAAGTTTCCTGTGAGGGGTAGGTTTAGGGGTATGGTTGGTGTAGGGCAATAGAATATACGGTCTGTACAGTAGAAAAACCATTACGCCTATGGGATGTCCCCACTTTTCACAAAAACAAACCTGAGTGTGTGCGTGTGTGTGTGTCGCTGGTCTGTTCAGAGATCAGTCATCTGAGTGATCAGTGGATGGCCTGGAAATCTCAACACAACAAGACCTACAGAAAAAGCTTGTTTCCTCATGGGGACCTCAAAAATGTCCCCACAAGGTCAAAATTTACTAGTATTACTATCCTTGTGGGGACATTTGGTCCCCATAACGTGATAAATACCAGGTACACACACACACACACACACACTATTAATCTGTCTCTGTGGGTCGGTCTGTTTGCCGTTTGACCCACTGAACTGAGATCAGCAGAATGGGGTTTGTGACGCTCAAATATCACCTCATATTATTTCCCATTAAAACATGATCATTTAAACCCATAAGCGCTGAGGATTGCTCCTGGAATGCAGACACAATCAGCTCAAGTGGTGCTGTGAAATGATTAAATAAAACGCAAGGTCGCACGACTGTGATTGGTCCGGTCTAATCTGTTCTGAGAACTGTAATGGTCAAGTAAAGCCAGCTGTTGTATGTTGTGCACTAACACAGACCTGCGAAGAACCGCCCACTCAGACAGGAAGAGAGCGTCTGATTGACAGGCGAAGCGACCAACCACAGCTCACTCGGTTTCTTTTTTTATCTCTCTTTTAAAACATTTTAAAGTCATTTTTAATGCATGTTTACGTTTTATTGTTATTTTTATTTCTTATGCATCTTTACTGACTATTTTTGGATTATTTCTAAGTTCTTCTTATGAAAAGCAGCGTCTCTTGAACACCGAAACGCCTTGCTTCTTGAGTTCAGAGATAACACAATAAAAGCAACGAGGGGAAATGTGTGAAGACTTCAGAGTTTCTGTCCGCCCAAAAGCAACAAATGCTGATTATTTCAGATATCAGTGTTTACAAAATAGAAAATGTAATTCTGCTTGTTGATATCTAGTTTTAAATATGTAAACTAACAGATATTACCATATTTGTAATGTTGTATAAATCAGAGTGAATGATATATGAACAAACCCCTCAGTAAACACCTTCAGAATAGAGATAGGAATAAAACTAAGTTTTGTTTGTAGTGTCTTGTGGCGAACTATGTTAAATCCTGTGTCTAGTTCTTCCTCAAAAACACTTTTCAGCAACCGGTGACTGGTTAGAAGTTGCATAAAGCCAGATTGCGACAGTGTTGTGTGGATTTGTGTGCATATGCATCAGTCAGTGTGTGTGTGTTTTGTGTACATTGTGTGTGTGTGTGTGTGTGTGTGTGTTGTGTTCTAGA